TGCCTGTCCTAGAACTAGCTCTAGTAGACCAGGCTGGTCTCGAACTCACAGAGATCCTCCTGCCTGTGCCTCCTGAGTGCTAGGACTAAAGGTGTGCGCCACCACCACCCGGCCGCTGTAGGATTAATCAATAGATTCTCTAGAAGAAAAATATATTTCATACATAGACACAAAATATATGAAAATATGTTTATACCAGTCACTTAAATCTATTATACCTCTGTCATAAAAGAGGTGCTATGTGTGGTGTTGGGGGCACTGAAAGGCAGAGGCATGGGCAGATGCTCACACCTGGTGTCTCAGAGGTTTAGAGTGCCCACTGTCTTCAGGATTGAGTCTTCAAGGGTGAGAACTTATATACAGCATACACTTCCTGTGGTTTTCTGTGGCAGGGCCATTCTCCACAGCCACACATCTCAGAGTACTCATGAGCTGAGGTGCAGTGAGTGATGACCCAGTTTCAGGAGCACACTCCCAGAACAGAATGAGTCACATCACAGGAGCTGAGTCATGCTCACCCTCGGAGCATGCAGCCAGCAGTGAGCAGCATGGCTCTGCTCCAGACATGAAGCCAGCTGCACAGGGCAGCAAAACAGAAGGCAACCTCAGATCATCTGTTTTCTGATATGAGCATCAAGTTGTTTCATCTGCATACAGCTAGTTTTCCTTGGATCATTCCAGAAGCATGCATGTTCTAAACCAATTTGAGATAACTTCTAAGGGGATGAAGTGATGGGAAATTAATGCTTTCTTGTAAGAAATGAAAGTGCACATTTCAAAGATAACAAGGAGCACCAGGAAACATCACTTGTTCAGCTTACGTTACGTATTTTGTATGTTTAGATCCCAGTTGACACATCATTGTTAACTCTCAGGCCAGAGTCCCTGAACACACTTGTACATACTCACACTCTGCCCCATTTATTAGCCATCCCTTCCTTTGTCTCCACTATCTTTTCAACAGTCTGAGACAAGTGGGGAAAGGAGGTTTCCACTGCTTGCTCCAGCACTGCCACTTCAGCATCTTCCTATTCTGAAACATCATGAACCCAGATATCAATTCCAATGTAAAGAGTGTTAGAACTGTGGCAGAATTACTCTTCTCTGCATTTTCCCCCTTTAACTGAAAAGCAGTTAATTATGATGACAGGAGCGAGGCTATGCAATAAAAAATGCCCTTCTCACCTAAAGTCTGTAAGTCTAGGAATAGGAACATTAGAAATATTTAAGAAACAATTCAGATAACTAATGTGGCTTAGGATCAACAAAGCCACCATGTCACTTGAATAAAGACTAATGGAAGTAGGTAATTTTAATTAAGAGTATGTGATGAGAGAAATCTAATGACAAGTGATCTCTCTTGAATACAGTTAATCTGTAAAGCCCAACATAGAACATAAGGTAGCTTTTTCTATGGGGTACATACAGGATGAATACAAAGGATGATGAGACAAAATGAAAAGTACCTCTTCAAAAGGCTGGAAAGCAGTTCTTCAATCTTAGTTTTAGCTTCAGCTTCCGATGAACACTTTTTAAATGTATCTTCTTCACTGAAGGACTACCAAAGAAGTATAAATAAGTATAAATTAATATAAACTCAAACATAGTCCCCATGCCAAATAAATACTCAACACATTCTTTACCACCTCATCCTAGTGCAGAACTTAACACTAGGTTCTCTTATTCGTTAACTCCCCGAGGGTGCAGGTATTGTGCAAAAGTCACCCAGCTCCAGTCTCTCAATTGGACTACAGCAAGGCTTCTATAGTCCTAAAACTTTAATCTGGGTCTATACTTGGATAAGTTATTTAACCTTTTCAAAGTACAGTAGCCTGGTCTTAAGGAGAAAGAGAGGAAGCAAGGGAGGCAGAAAGGAAGGTATGAACAAATAGCACTGTCTATCTCCAAGATTTATGGTAAAATTTAAATGTACAAATATGTGAAACACTTTCTAAAGTGCCTGGCACATTAAAAAAAAAAAAAAAAAAACCACCCCACACTAAGTGGATAATTATACCCTCCCCATTTATCAAATCACTGGATTATTCTAAAAACAAAGATGTTTTAAAAGATTAAAAGATTTTCTTCATATTTGTGTGAGTGTTAGGATTTTTAAGACAGTGGTAAAAAGAAAACAGATAGCTTGATTAAAACTACTGAAAGGCAAGTTTCAATTTTAGAGTACTTACTAATCTCACATAAGCCACCTTCTCAGAGGGAAGGGATCCTGTACAAGCATCAAAGCAAACTAGACTAGTGAATACTGAAGCCAGATATCTTTATCTTAAGTGGTATTATAAACAGCACCTTGTGAAATGAGCATCATGCGCAGCACGTACCTGAGGTGGCCCTGAGGGAGTGACGGGAGAGTTGTCCTCTCCAAAACTGAGCTTCTGGATGCGCTGAGCAACTGAAATCCCTAATTCCTTTTCCAATGTTTTGACTGAAAAGGTCTGGAGATCACGCACACTATTGATTCCCAGCACCTCAAGACGTTTGGCAGTCTTATAGCCAATACCTGAACAATAGAAATGTATTATGTTACAAAGGCTTTGCTTTTGAAAATAAAGCTACTCTAAATATTAAAAATGTTTCCACCATATGATAAGTTCCTTAATGCTTTGCTAAGCTCAAACCGCATTACAATATGCATTGATTTTCTTCCACTCAGGGCTCGTGAATGATATAAACTTCTTTGAAACTCTCCTAACATGGAGTAACATCTATGACATAGCTGTGTTCAGTCTGGATCAAACACACATCTTATAGCCTGTTTTGCAATACAAGGGAAAAACAAAAAAATAAGTTATAATTCGTGTATGCAAAAAGGACTAAGGACTGCACAGCAAGCAGCAATTAGAAGTGTCAAGTAAATTCAGAAATGGCCCACCACACATGAACCTGCAATTGTACTTGCCATCCAGAGCAAACAAAAAAAAAAAAAAAAAAAAAAAGCTTCCTGCTAACCACACTCCATTAAACTAGTCATATTTTATGCACAGGAGAAATACACTATGAAATGTTATTTACTTCATTTAAAAATAATCATCCTACAGCTCTCTAGTTTCCTTGTACAGTAAAAGCAGTAGATTGCAGGAAACAGGCATGTCGGGGCAATTATTAAAATGGAGTGACAGATCACTTTACAGCAGAATTAAAGACTGACAATTTGAATAAAAGAAAAGGTGAAGTCTATGAAAAACACAGATGAGGGCTGGGGATGGAGGCTCAACTGGCAGAGTGCTTGGCTAGTTTCCATGAGGGGCTGGGTTTTATCTCCAGCACTGCATAAAACTAGGTGTGGCTGCAGAACTCAGGGTAGACGGAGGTAGTAAGTCAAGGCCATCCTCAGCTATAGCAAGTTCCAGGCCAGCCTAGGTTACATGAGACCAAAACAAAACACAGATATTAACTAAAAAGTAATTCAAGCAAGAGCGTTTTATAGAGCTATAGAGATCTCAGCTAATTACAATCTAACATGGTTCTTCAGAAGAGTCAAACCTTCCAACTGACTCTACTGAAGAAGGTAAGCTAGGCCATAAAACAAACTAAATCACACCAGAATCTATCTAAAAAGAGAAGTAGTGCCATTTAAATGGTGAAGTTTCTGTTGTCTCAGAAATCCATTTCCCCATATTATTCCTAAATTCCTACGAAAGTGAACTTTAACGTACTCATTAATAGTAGATAGCCTGTCTGTCCATGACTACTGGGTAGATCACTTATCTTTAAAATGAGGAACACAGGAAGACTGTTCCATTGGTAAAGTGCTTGTTGCACAAACACTAACTAGGACATCAGTTCACACCCTCAACATCCACATATAAAGCCATGAGCTCTTGTGCGTACCCATAACCCCAAAAGTGGGGAGGTGGTGACAGAAGGATCCCACTAACCCATGAGCTCAGGTTCAGTGAGAAACTGTCCCAAAAAAATATGCTGGGGTGATTAACGAAGATACTCAAGGTTGACACACGTGTACACCACAAACACATATGCACAAAAATATGGGAGACACAAAAATATTTGTTTAATGAAAAGCTTGGCCTAGAAGCTTTTGGAAGTTTACTGTGCCACTAATATTTTATTCAATGTCCATAAACAGATGTCGCAGGGTATTTGTTTACACTGTGTGAAGACTGTCACTGTGATTGGTTTAATAGAAAGCTCAACAGCCAATTGCTAGGCAGGAGAGATTAGGTGGGACTTCTAGGCAGAGAGAGGAACTCAGGGATGAATCTAGGCAAACAAGAGACACCAGTGAGGCACAGAGGGAGTCAAACATACAGAATGGTGGAGAGGTTACCAGCCACATGGAAGAATGTAGATTAATACATACCTGTTTTAAGTTTTAAGAGGCAGTTGGGAACAAGACTAAGCTAAAGGCCAAGATTTCATAATTAAGAAGTCTCTGTGTCATTATTTGGGGGCTGGAAGTTCAAAGAAAGTCCAACAAGAAAGACCTACTACAAAGAGACATTGCAAACAATGAACTCCCCTCTCTGTGAAGTGTAAGTATGGGACCATATGCCACCAGGGCACCACTCAGAGCCTTATGTGGAAAAGTACTTTCACATATTTCTTCATAGAAATTTGTTCCAGAAAATATTTCAGGTTTTTTGGTTTCCTCCAGAAGCCAAAGGAATTAAATGCATATTTAAATTAAAGAAATTACAGCAAAACAGTCTTCACATGTATTTGTCTTACCAGGCATTTCCTTTATGTGGTTCAAGCTGTGGATGAGATCTTGACAGCTTTCAGGTAATAAGACTGTTTGTTGATTTGGTTTAAAAACACCAGAAACTAACTTTGCCAATAGTTTATTGGGAGCCACTCCAGCACAGCCAGTGAGCTGAAGCTGATGATACATGGCTTCTCGAATCTCTGCGGCAATCTGTGATCCAACCACCAGTCTCACGTGGGTGATGTTGTGTAGATTTACAGCTACAATGACAATGTTATTACCACAAAGAAAAACATTCATTTTCTTTTCCACAAACAGCTTTAAACAAGCCCAGGATTTTGTTTGTATCTACCCCTCCCCCACCCCTCTTACACTTGTTTCTTTAGTTCTTCATAGATTACTATAAAGTGACCAAATGCCTAGGTTCTATGATAATTAATACATGCTAGAAGCTCTTAATCATTAGCAGACTATGAAAATGCAGCTCATAACAAGTTCCAGCTGACATGCATAAAGCTTTTACTCACAATTACCAATAAATAAGTAGAAATAAGTATGTATTCATGCACTACCTGAACACCCCAATGAAAACCACTTCTGACTGGCCCATAGGTTAGGAGATCTGCTTATGACATTGCAGGGAAATTAGAAAAAAACACATTTTCTTTGGTGTGGAATGTTAGAATGATATGGACCCATCTTTATCCTTAGGACTCATGCTGGAAGGATTTGGAGATAAAATGTCACAGACCCTGCAAATTAGTCCCCAATGGCTCATCGTTCAGCCTTGCAAGCACACAGTCCACAGAGGCAAGATAAAAATAAACGTGCCAAAATGATAACTGGCTTGTCTATAACAGAGAAGACTGTTCACACCATGATTCCTCAACGTATGTACTTGTCTGAAAGCAACTGTTTTTAAATCTTTGTGGAGCCAGGCACTTGGGAGGCAGAGGCAAGCTGATCTCTGAGGTCAAAGCTATCCTGGTCAACATGTAAGTTTCAGGCCAGCCAGGCTTCATAGTGAGATGTTTCAATAAATAACTTTCATTAGGAATCAGGCATTTATAATGCCTTGAAATATAAAATATGTCTCTCTATACACTGATGTGTTTGTTCTCAACAAAGATCTATCTGGAGCCGGGTGTTGGTGGCACACGCCTTTAATCCCAACACTCTGGAGGCAGAGGCAGGTGGATCTCTGTGAGTTCAAGGCCAGCCTGGTCTCCAGAGAGAGAAACCCTGTCTCGAAAAACCAAAAAAAGAAAAAGGAAAAAAGATGTATCTGGAATCTTACTTGCTTTCCACCCTGGTGACTGACAAAAGAGCAGAGGTACAAGAGACACAGGAGAAACTTACGGGGGTTCTGCCTCTTTTCTTCTGTGGGGACTATACAGGGGTCTCCAAACAGGGGCATAAGGGAAGGCACATGCTGAAAAATAGGACCAGCTAGGTCAGGCTGCTCTTACACCATGAGCTTGTCTTCCATATAAATTCTCCAACAGTCATGGGTGTCCAGCAGTCTAATCAGATATTCACAGGCACTCACTGAAACTTATAGATGCTAATATCCCTGGAAAAGCATCAGTACTCCACACCTTAATGTGTGAAGATAGCTGACGCCGTTTTCTTGCTAACAGCTGCTAATGGTTATTGGAACTGACTAACCTGAGCCTGGAGAGGTCACTGGCACACAGCAAGATCGGACTGTGACTAAAGGCCTGGACAAGATTCAGCCAGGATCCAACAGGGAACTCTGAGTGCCTCAGAGAACACAAGGAATCAGGGAAGATATACATCAACAGCACATTCAGGAGAATTAGAATGATTTTTTAAAAAGTTAAGAAGCCAACCTCTGGAACTTAAGGATGACCTACAAAGGTAGGATTCTTAAAAACAGACAGGAGAAAGAATGGGAGGGTAACTCCCTCTGAGAGAAGAGATGAAAGTCACCCAAGACACATCCTTACACACCACTGAACTATCCTGAATACTTAATGTGGACCAGCAAGTCCTCATTTGGGCTTACATACTAAACATGTCTGTATCTTCAAAGAGGCCATGCATCTGTCAGCAGCCTCGACGACTATGGGATACGCGCACTCAATGGTGATCGGTCACCGAGGGGGATGGGAAGGAAGCACTCACACTGGTTATTGTAAATATGGCCCGACACAGTCACTGACAGAATCTCATCTCTTGGAAGCTGCTGGAGTCTTTTCTCAACCATTTCTGTTAGATCCACAAAATTTTCATCAAATCCAAGTCTCTCAACAACTGGGCTAAATTCCTCCAACAGCTCTAAATTGAAATAAAATTGGAGCACAGATATAATTAACTTACAACTAGAACACAATTCACTGTTTAGTGATTAAAATACCAAACACAGCATATAAAAATGTGTATACCAGATGTCTGATACATATATAAAATAGCTTCACACCCTTTTAATTTTTAACTTAAATTTTTACTTTATATGTGTGTGTCTGTGTTTTGCCTGCATGTATCTGTATACAATGTTTATGCCTAGTACCTGCAGAGGCCAGAAGAGAGCATTGGATACCCTAGGACTAGAGTTACAGATGGTTGTGAGCCCCTATGCGGGTAGCAGAAATTGAACCCAGACCCTCTGGAACAAGCAGTCAATGCTGTTAACCGATGAGCCATCTCTCCAGTCCAGCCCTACAACCTTTGATAACATTCTCAGTTAACAGACTTTTGAGTAAAGACAATGTTCAAAGAAAAAAAGTTCAGAAGTAATATTCCCAGGATAATCACTCACAGGAATACATCTAATTCAGTCTTCCACATCTATAACTTCTCTATCTGGAGTATACTTTTTAAAAAGAAAATCTATGTTTAGAGATCGTTAAAATCTTGAAGTAGATGTCAATAAATTATAATCTTCTTAGAAAAGAATAATCAAGTAATATTTTAGCTATATTTTCCATTAACATTGAAAACTAATTTTTAGAATATACTACAATGAAGTATTTTGATGAGCCATTCCTTCTGAACATTCCCTGGGGATGAAGTAGCTGGAGTGCCATAACCTTCGGGAATTCCAGTTCCTTAAATCAAAGCAAGACTGAGTCTTTACAATGTTCACTAAAGTGACCTGAACCAAGACTCCTACTGAATTCAAAAGGAATACCAATTCTGAAATGAGACTGAAAACTAACTACTAATTACAACCTTAAAGACATTTTTAGTTACCCCTGAATCTTCTCCTAACTAGATGGTGAAAAGTACAGTAGCTACTTGCCATTCACATATACCAAATACATTTTTTAAAAAACTGGACAGCAACAGAAGACATTAATGTTGATATTTGGCACACACACACCCACACACACACAAACACAAATTTCACATCCACAAAAAGTATTTTTCTTCACAGTATTTATTTTCATTTTATATTTTAAAACTTCATTTACAGTTTTTGTTACTTAATTAAATATTATTCATGACCAAATTTAAATTATTCATTTTCTCACCACAGCTAGAACACTGAAAGCCACCTTCTTGCATAATTAAAAATTTATATTAAATATATTTATTTGGGGGCATATGAAGCTACCTTCTTATATAATTAAAATTTTATTAATTTATTTATTTGGGGGGGGCAGAGAGGTACATGCTACAATATATATGGAGGTCAGAGGACAACGTGTCCAAATCAGTTCTCTTCTTCCACCATGTGGATACCAGGGATGGGGCTCCAGGGCTTGGGCCTAACATCAAGGGCATATATCCACAGAGCCATCTTGCCAACTCCTTAATAATTTTTGAAGTGAGAAAGGCCCAATTTTGTTTTTAAATGTTAGGAAAAAAAGATCTAGATACATAGCACTTCATTGGCAATATTTGTATAGTGAAAAATCACCCTACATGCTAAACTATACAGCAACTAAAGTTGTACCTGTGACCTTATATGACATCTCTCTGTAGCGGCTCAAGTCTTCTCCATTCACGAGGACCAGCTGGGGACACTTTTCTTTTGCATCTCTGACATTCATAAGTTTTTTAACTCCAAGTTTCCTGGCTTCATAGTTGCAAGTAACCACCAAGTATTTCTGTTGAACACCTATAAAAAAATAAGTATCATCTGAGGAAATTAAGCAGAATTGAGCATTTTTAAATACAGTCTCCTAGTTTCATACTGTAACAGTGTAGGTGGTAACCCACTGTCTGCTGCTGTGGTTGTTTGCAGCAATGAAGCTCAAGACCACAGCCTTATGCATGCTGGTCAAGCACTCTGTTACTGCTATCTTCAGAGTTTTGGGGGCTTTGCCAGTTCCCAGCCCTCCACAGTGGCTGTGTAGTCGCCATGTAGCCCAAGCTACCCTCTAACTTGAAATCTTCCCACCTCTGCCTCCCATATGCAAGTGCTGCCCAGCTCACAATGGGTTTTGACAAGAACAAAAAGACATGTGACTTACGTACAACAACCTCTATCAAAATTCTAAGAAGCAGCATCAGGTTATATGAGCTATGTCCCACTTACAAATTATAAAATACCAATTTTATTCTCCCATATCTTTAGCATTTTTTTCTAATTGGAGAAGAAAGAAATTATATTAAATAAGAAAACACTGAATAATTGTAGCAGAAATTACATATAAGAATGTGGGCAGTTACTCATACACAAAAGGGAAGCTGTGTTTCTCAAATTTAAATTATCGTTAAGTCAATATACTCTAAGGAATTTTCAGTGGTAAAACATAAGTTAAATCCTTCAAGGATTCTTTTCAGACAACTCAAAGACCAATTAATTTACAATGTCATGTAATACTCTTGGATATGTTTACCAAATAATAAGCCCAATGAAAATAACAGAGAACAATTAAATATTGGTTGCTGCTAGAAAAACTCATTTATCCTCTGAGCAAACTGCCAGTGAATATGAACAATATTCTAGCAGCCAAACTATAACAGTCATGAAAGATCTTGTCCCATTAAGTACCCTAAGTAATGAACTATATACAGCTTATAATAATTTGTAGTTTTACCAAGAGGAATTATTTTGGGCTTCCTTTTGAAACTGACAATATTATGACCACCTATAGAATACATTCTTTAAAAATTGCCAGGCATTTAAGATTGCTAAAATTATTCCCTTTTCTCTTTTTACTCAAGTTGATTGCTTCATCACAATGTAAGTCATATTCATCTGCAATTCGTAGATGAATATATGGAAAAGAAAAACCTATACCCATTCTTGCTGCATATTTTTAAATCTGACATTCTAAGACAAATCAAAATCAGTTTGCTGATACATTTTTCATATATTTGATAATGAAAGTTGAAAAAGGCCTGACTGGTAACTCCTTAGCTAAAAGGGCTCCCCACAGCAGATCTTGGCCTGAGCTGCTTGCACATTTATCAATAAAAGCTGGCTAAGCACTCACACTCCTCAGTTCACAGTAACTACTTAATAACTACTTCTTAATCACACAAAGTAAAAACTGGGCAGCTGTGCTAACTAGAAATGTTTTCAGAAGGGAAAAAAAATAAAAAACCTGACCCCCTAATTTAAATCTTTGACCTCTTGGGAAAGTTTAAAGATTTAGCTTCATCTTAGAGAACTAAAACCTAGTCATTCCTTTGTTCTTGAGGAAATCAACGGGATGGACTGTGATTTATAAAACTGAGGCAGGCACAAGATGAAAGCAACAAGGAAACAAACACTGTCCTTTGTGTTTAAACTAAAAGACGTGCTTCCTATATGCATGAATGAAAAGCTGTTTTCCTTAAAGTGCATGCCTACAGAAGTGAGCTACATCCAAGAGCTTGTTATGTGCCTACCAAAGGAAGCTGCTTCATCTACTAAGAACTCATTCTGGTTCCTGTGCACACACTACCTATGCTCATGTGGTCACATTTATTAAAGGGACAAGACATGGTACATTTACTCTTGGTAGCAAAGCAAATATGACTGCCAACCAAGTTCCTAAAACAGTCTACAAAAACTGTCTTCGAATGGTTAATAAATCAGAAAAATAAATCATACTTGAGGCTAATTTTATCATCACCCAACAAAGATCCCATCAATGTGGATTACCTAAAGGTTTGTCCTTTAATTCTGGATTGGAGATCATTTCTACTTGGGCATAAAAGCAATCCAGGTCCACATGTACTATGACTCTGGATGAAGAGATTTGTGTTGGCACCCCTTGATCGAAAACTGCTGCATAATACACAAAGGAAAACAAATGTATTCAGGCTGCTTATCATCAGGGAGCAACTAACAGATCCTTAAAACATTTTATCTGAAAAAGGATGGACAGTGGCTTAAAGAGTTTTTCCCCCTTGGATTTTATGACATGCCAGATGCCAACCGTTTAGATGCCCCCAGTATCTACAAATCATAAAGACATGAAACTCCATCAGCAAAAAGGCCTTCAGTCCTTTTTGATTAGCATGTCTTCAGGTACTACACACCCCCACACACACACCTCAGAGTAGTTAATTTAAGGGGAAACTCTTGATCAATAATGAATGGCACAAAAGCTGGTACTATCCTGTCTTTTAGAAATTTTTAAATAATAAATTGTAGCAATGTTATTTTCAACCAACTTGAGCATTACTCCAAGCAGCCTGTCCCTACATTTATAAAAAATAAATCAAACTGGCACAGCACAACCTGTGGGTTCCAGGACACTAAATTTGGCTCCCATGAGAGTACAATTTCCTGTTCTGAAGTCCCCAGTGCCTAGAACAGTGCCTGGGGCGCAACAGACAACAAATAATTAACCACTGAGTTGAAAACCTGGTTATCTAATTTTAAAAACTAGGGTCAGGGCTGTACCTGATATCCTAGGGCCAATGAGTAAATTGTATATATTATGGGTGGTAAAGGAGGCAATAGGAACAATTACCTTCTTTCGTTACCAACAAAGCAGCCTAAATGCAACCCTGGGCTAGGAAAAGCACACTGGTAGGAAAATGACAAATTATGAATATAGTGTGTCTTTCCGTAAATGGGAATTAGTTGTGTACCTACTTTAATTTTGAAGTTTTGATATATGTACCAAGGAGATATTAGAGATATTGATATTAGAGAAATAGCATTTATGCCATAACTTTTCTGTTCATTGAGGGTTGGAGGGGG